TGAAAAATTCAAGAAAATTCAAATAAACAACTCAGTAAAGTATATAGAATTAAAAGAAATATGCAAACAAACAAAACAATAACAACAGAACAACTACATGTCACCACTCCTAAGTAACCATTCTTTATATTATGAGATCTCAATGTTAGATATCTTTCTTTGGTAAATGTACATAATATAAATGGAAAAATAGGTAGGTATATATATTTATTTTTGTAACATTAGGTTATAACTTGGTTATATTATATAATCAATATTTACAATTGTGTAATAAAATCATCACATTTAACTTTTATTTTAAATACTGAAAAAAAGAGAAACTGAAGGAATTACTGAATTTCAAGTAAGTATTCCCCACAAGGTTTTATTTCCTAAAAGATCTTTCTAAATAAAAAAAGAGACAATGAAAGAATCATTGAAATTAGAATCTTCATTTGTTTTCAGTTTTACACTTTAATTTTAGACAATTCTGACTGAATTCTTGCTATCCAAGGGTAAATGCTGGAACCCCAAACTACCTCTCTACTTCCTCCTTTCTTCTTATTTTTTAAATTTTATTATTTTCACATAATCGTAAATATAATATTGTATATATAATATAAATATATAATAAATATAATTTTGTTAAAATTATATTTTGTAAAATGTAAAAAAATGAATAAGTAAAATGCTGAAAAACTAATATTACTTAAAAATTTCATTTCATAATATTTTATATATAATTATATATTATGTATTATATAATTATATATTATAATTATATAATTATGTTATATGATTATAATTATTAATTATATTAATAATTATATTATAATTATATTCAATTTATGTATCAATATTTATGAAATATTTATTTCAAATGTTATAAATATTTCATAATATATTGATACATAAATTGAATATATTTTATATGTTATATTTAGAATCATTCCATTGTATTTGTCATTTGTACTTAATGTCATGTCATTAGTATATTCCCATGTTCTGATACTGTTATGGATTAAGTTGTGACCCCCCTAAAAAAATTCATATGGTTGAAGTTATAACTATCCTATTTGGAAATAGGATTGTTGCAGATGTCATTAGTTAAAATGAGGCCATACTAGAATAGAATGGACCCCTAACCCAATATGACTGGTGGGTATGCTTATAAAAGGGAGAAATTTGGTTTTTTTAAAAGCCTTTTAATTTTTATTGTTAATAAATAAATAAATATAATTACTATAACATTTATTATTTAAACTGGTTTCATGTTTAAAAATATTTAAATCTCACCACTATAAGTTATAATTTTTAAAATCCATTCCTGAATCAATGATTGGATTTAGTTTTCAAATGTTCATCTATAAAGGGTTCAAGGTTATATATGTTTCAGTTATATATACTTGAGATTTTCTACCTGTTGCATCTATATTTGAGCAACATGTAGATAGGGTATAATAATCTTGACTAATAAAGCATTTCCGCTGACTTCTGTCAATGATGGTTGTTGTGTAGAAATTTGAGGGCCATCTTAAATTTTACCCTTTGTCAATGCTTTATATTTCTTATTTAGATGCCTAGAAATATATCACACATTTCTACCTGTATATGTATAAAAATTTGTATAAAATATGTATAAAAATATTTCAGTTTATTGGGGTCTTCTTTTTTTACAAGAGGAAAATGCTTAAAATATCCCAGATGTTCACTCATAAGGACTGTTTAAATAATTTATATACATACATATGCAATAGAATACTATGTTGTCATAAAAAGACTGAACAAGCTATTTATATACTGATGGGAAAATATTTCTGAAAAATAATTTTTTAAATGGAAAAAATGCAAAATGGTACGTTGTTAAAAATTTTAGATAAATGAAATTTAGCCGAGTTTATTTTAGCATCCGAGTAGTTTATAGCCTGAGATTGGCTGAGTGCTCAGCTGCTAAAATTGCCCAAGACTCAGCTACTTGTTGCAAGAATATACTCTTCAGTTAGGCTGCAGTTTGCTACCTATGGAGGCAGGTTTAGGACAAATTTAACTGAACAAAGTATACTTTCTGTTAGTAATAAAGGGGAAAAACAAAAATATGTATTTTTATTTGTGGGTATTTAGATGAAGAAACCCTGGTAGAATTCTTAAGAGATTAAGGAAAAGATTATATGTGATAGAGGTGGGTAGTGAGCAGATGGCTGCAAGGGTGAGAGTCAGACTTTTTGTTATTCATATCATATGAAAACAAAATAATAAAAAACAACATTAAATTTAAAAATACTAACATAGCCATACTGATTAGACATAAATTGGAATTTGGTTCTCAATATTTTAAAGCTGGTTCTATATGTTGGTTCATATGCAGATTTATTTATAACAAACAGTTCCATGGAAATATAATACTATCTATTTTAACAGCTCTTTAGCAAGCAGAAATCTCAGTTCAGTATTCTCCACTCCCTCACTCTCTACTTAAATATGCTGCTACTTCATTTTTTCTTTTTAACCTCATGAACTTGGGAATCGAATGGGAATTATTTATGTTCTGTAAGGAAATACTAAATAAGAGTCAGTTCCTTCTGACTTTTGCAGACTCCCTCAATATTTCTGACAAATATTCTTTGTTGATTTGACTCCAGTCATGTTAACAGGCAGAATGAATTAGTTGCAGCTATCATAAAACAAAGTTAGCCCCAAGACTACCAAGAGATACTTCGAAAATATTGCACATATACAGACTTAAACCTATGGTGTGAAACGATTAGAATTCTAGAGGAAAACATTGGAAATACTCTTCTAGACTTTGGCCTAGGCAAAGAATTTATGAAGAAAACCCCAAAGGCAATCACAGCAACAACAAAAATAAATAAATGGGACCTGATCAAATTAAAAAGCCTCTGCACAGCAAAAGAACCTGTCAAGGGAGCAAACAGACAACTCACAGAATGGGAGAAAATTTTTGTAAGCTACTCATCCCATAAAGGGCTGATAACTTGAATCTATTTAGAACTCAGGAAAATCAGCAAGAAAAAAAATCAAACAACCCTATCAAAAAATGGGCAAAGGACATGAACAGAAACTTCTCAAAAGAAGACAGCATAATGGCCAACAAACATATGAACAAATGCTCAACATCTCTAATCATCAAGGAAATGCATATCAAAACCACAATGAGATATCACTTAACTCTAGTGAGAATGGCCTTTATCAAAAAGTCCCCAAACAATAAATGTTGGCGTGAATGCAGAGATATTTGGAACACTCCTATACTGCCGGTGGGACTGCAAACTAGGAAAGCAGTATGGAGATACCTTAAAGCGATACAAGTAGATCTACCATTTGATCCAGCAATTCTACTACTGGACATCTACCCAAAAGATCAAAAGTCACTTTATGAAAAAGACACCTGCACTTGAATGTTTATAGCTGCACAATTCACAATTGCAAAGCTGTGGAAACAACCCAAGTGCCCATCAATACATGAATGGATTAATAAAATGTGGTATATGTATACCATGGAGTACTATTCAGCTTTAAGAAACAATGGTGATATAGCACCTCTTGTATATTCCTGGATAGAGCTGGAGCACATTCTACTAAGTGAAGTATCCCAAGAATGGAAAAACCAGCACCACATGTACTTACCAGCAAACTGGTTTCACTGATCAACACCTCAGTGGACATATAGGAATAACATTTATCCGGCGTCGGGCAGATGGGAGGGGAAGGAGGGGATAGGTATATACATACATAATGAGTGCAGTGCACACCATCTGGGGATGGACACGCTTGGAACTCTGACTCCGGGTGGGGGAAAAAGGGGGAAAAACAACACACGTAACCTAAACATTTGTACCCCCATAATATGCTGAAAGAAAAAAAAATATTGTACATAGTCTTTAATGTTGGAGAAAATGTCTTCATTGATATTAGAGTTATAAAACCTCTGGTATTACAAATTAAACAATGGCCATAATAAAATATTTTGCCTGCTAACTTCATCATCATTTTTCTATAAAATAATGAAGACTGTCATATAGAGTGAATATCTAATATGGACCAGGCACAAGAAATGAGGCAAAGAAGCATGAGATATAATCCTTGCTAAGAAGAATCTTAAAATGAATTTAGGGTCATAAGATTTAATGACCTCAAATGATTATACAAATGTGTTTATGTCATCTTAGAAGTGATAGCATATCATTGTTCCAAGAAATTTTTGTGTTTTTCATAATAATATATTTTCATATTTAATGAATAATATTCTAGTCTTCTTATTTACACCCAATGTTTCTAAAATAATTAAACGTATTAAAATGGTGATAATATTTCCTCAATTTTGTGTAAGAATGAAGTTCATCATCATTTTTATCACTAAGAATCATTGTCAGCTTTATATTGATCAGTGGCCAGAAACACTAATCTGGCCACGGTGCACAGGATGGACTAAGAAACAAATGAAAGTTGGTGATAGAAACTAGTTACAAATTCTTAGAATAATTCAAGTGAGATAGAATGAACATATATGAAATTAGTGGCAACGATAATGGAAATGAAATGAAAGTTGAGAATGTTACTCAGGGACAGAATCTGTAGCATGCAGGGGCTAGATGATAGCATCAGTGAAATCTGTAATAGAAAGGTGAAATCTTAGTAGAAAAGGAAAGGAGATGATAAAATATATTTCAGGCTTGTTTTTAAGCTTTTTGAGAATAAGGGCCATGGGTTTTTCAAGAATTCATGGTCTCAACAAATATTCAAAGAAATGTATAAGAATTCATTTGATGCCACTGACTAGGTACTATTAACATAAAAATTAAAAAGCACAATTCCTAAAATATCTTTTGTCTAATAAGGAGGTAAGAACATAAGGAAATAATTACTATAAAATTATGATAAAAATGTCACAAATGCCATAACCAAGAAATAACAGGTCCCCCAATTTCTCATATGGCTCAGAATTTGGGTGCTAAATAAATATTTTTAAGTGTTGATTACTTTTTACTGTTTTATTCTTTCAGAGCAGTGCATTAGGACTTTGAAATCTGACTCACAAGAATGGTCTGATAAGATCCCTGCTATTCCAAAGTGGTGACAGGTAAGGACATAGTGCGCCATTTATAATTAGAGTTGAGAAAAGTGCTTATTTCTTTCTCTTCTTCTGACTTGATAACAAAAACATTGTTTAAAGTGCCAAATCATAGCAAATGAATTTTTTTTCAAGTGAAAATTATTTTAAGTAATTACTTTATAGGTAAGTGTGTGCATGTTCCTTATGCAAGCTCCTGCCACTACTCAGTAGGTGTTGGTGGCCCATCCTCCTCTAATGTGAGCCTGCTCTCAAAAGGTACTCACCTCATAGGCCTTGTTTGAACTGAGAGCAGTTCTTCAGCTCCTGCCTCATGAGTGTACAACATTGCAAGCGTAAACAATGCCCTTCACTTTTGCATGATGTAGTGATAGTTAATGATATTAACAACAAAAGGATGTAGTCAGCTTAAGCCACCTTTCCCAAGTGACTGAAAAGCTGTTACTCTATTTGCTTTGCATTCTGATTATTAGTTTCACTGAATGACCTCTTGGTGCCTTATAGAGCAGAATGTAAATGGAATAATGCCAGAACTTTGCTCCAGAGAATGCCTTTTTCCCCCTCAGTGACAGTGACAAGAGAAGAACCCATAGCAGTTTTTCCCTTCATAGTGGAATTGGACATTGAAAATGGTTCTTTGGGATGGGTGTGGGGTTGAGCTGGGGTAAAGGGTAATAATTCTGCCTCCAGCTTCTTAACCACTTGTCGATTGCAGCTCATGGGACCCGTTAATGACCAATGTGCTTCAAGAAGGATAAAGTTCCAGGGGCTTTTCAGGTTTCATTGATTTTCAGAGAAAAACTGAGCTCTCCAAGGAGAAGCAGAGAATTTACAGGTGGAAAGAGGATATGGAGGTCTTATTACTGATTCAACATCCTTCATAATCCCAATAGGGACCTGAAAGGAAACAGAATGACAGGATTTTAAATGAAGATAGAGATCCAACAGAACTGGATTGAGATGCAGTTCATTGATAAATTAACTTGGTGGAAATGGATTTTAACAGTAAATTGTATCCAAATTATTACTGAACTCCTCTCCTCCCAAAGCATCAGGCTGCTTTGGTTTTGGCTAGGCTTGGTGAGGTGGTACTGCTGCTGACCCATCAAAGCTCTAATTAGCAGTTACATGGCTCTGATTAAGATCAGTAAATACATATGCTATTAATGAAATGTGGTTGGCAAAATCCTTTAAAGCATGAGGATTTCTGGGAGATAAAAAAGTAACAAAGCATTTTTGATAATAAAAGATTAAGAACTATTTATCTAGAGTTGCACTGACCAATATGGCAGTCATGAAAGATATGTAGACATAATATGTAAACTTAAGTAATTCAAAGTAATGAATTAAAAACTCAGTTCCTCAGTTTCACTGGCCACATTTCAAGGACGGAATAGCCTGAAATGTGACTAGTGGTAATGATATTAGACAGCTCAGATATAGGGTACTTCAGAAATTCTGTCAGATAGCACTAGAGACCAACACTTGTATAGACCAGAGTTTCTCAAGGCAAAAAATACACATATACTTTTTCTCTCTGTCTATATTTTTAGTATGAAAGTAACTAATGCAGAAGATGATGAAATCTAAAACAGTACTAACTGATATAATAAAAGGCAAATTTTCTTGCTTCTCCTTTAAGTTCTATTATAATTTGTAACCTCAGGTGGGACTGGCAACCTCCATAATTCTAAATAATCCACTTACATATATATTTCTTGATCTATCAGTTTCAAATGGTATTTATGGACTCCCTAACATGTAATATTGTGCATTTAGTATACATTTGACATGCCTCCCAAATTATTTCCCAGGTCTGTCATATTCATTTTTAAAATTTTACTTCTACTTATTATTATTTAGAAGTAATATAATATTCTAATGCAATGATTATTTTGATGGCTTGAGGTGATATTACCTTGCTTACCACTATTTATGATAAGAAAATATGTGCCCCTCGATTTTCCTCCATGTCTCCTACTTTCAGTATCTTCCCAATCTCAATCCACCATATAATTACAGATTGTAGATTTTAAATAATCTACAATTACAAAATATACACACATACACTTTTGTCTTCCAAGCTTTGTCTGTAGTCTGAGAATAAAATTGAAGTCAAGAAACAATATTTATAATATTATCATATAAATATTATTAATCCTATTACCAAATATGCAAATGACAAGATTGATAGATACATATCCCTTTGTCATTGATCTTTTCTTATTAATGGAGAGTATAATTAACATAAATTTACAGGGGCATCTGGCTTCTTACCCATTCTGTGTCTTATTCTAGATATTCCATGACATTCTATTCTAAATCATTATTTACTGGCATGGTATACAACTTACATCCTGAAATTACTTTCTTTTTACTTTATAAAGTGTCTTCTTTATTTTATTTTTTTAAATCTATTCAGTGCCTTTCTCCTGTTTGAATTCCTTTTTCATTTTGCTGTAAACTATTCTTATTAAATTCTTTCATAAGGGATTTTTGGGTGAAATATTTTCTGAGTGTTTGTATATCTAATGATTTTTCCCTCATACTTGATTAAATATTAGGGTGAAAAAATAATTATAGATTCAAAACATTTTTATTAGAATTTAATATTTTCATTGTGTTTTCTTCTAATATCCAATCTTGCTCATACCAGACCCTCTAATTCTAGTATGTCTCCATGCATTTATTTTTCTATACCTCAGATGATGTTCAACTTTCATTATTTTCTCATTTGGCAAACTCTGTCATTTGCTAATTACCATAGTTTTTGATGTGATTCTACTGATAAGGACAGACAAAAGGGATGATGACCTTTTTATGCCTTTCTGGTAAATTATCTTGAAGTCAGTAATAGATCCTGAAAGCAATGTAGGACACGTCAATTGCTAAACTCACATTGCTTCTAAGAAATGATTCAGTATCTTTGGTCTTTGTTCTGTATTTCCATGGTGTCTGCATATTGAATTCCATGAACATATATGCTGCATAAAATATTTCAGTTTCTACAGGAAAAGAGGGAATCATTCTTCCCTAAGTTCCCTACAATGAAAACTTCTCTCTATTCAGATAAAGATGGGCATTGATAAATTAACTTGGTGGAAATGGATTTTAACAATAAACCCTTTACATAATCAAAGTTATAGGATTTATGACATAAGATGGTCATCGGGTTTATTCTGTTATTTCAGTCAAGACTATCTTATAGCATTTCAGGAATCCATCATTTTGATATACCTAAGGATTCTAAATTAAAGAAAAGAATGGTTTCTTTTGATGGATCATTTTGTTCAGCCTGAACATTCTTCTTTTATGTCCTTTAAGATTCTGTGTAAGGAAATGAAGAATCAAAATCTAGGCAAATTGATTTTTCCCCAGTTATTTGCATTGAAAACTTCACAGTTGGTGAGAGAAAATGAGTTATTTGCAATTTTGTTGCTGGGAGTAAGTTAAAAAGGAAAGAAAGTCAAATAGACTCATTTTGAGTTTGTATGTGTGTGGGCTACTAAGTGGGAAAAATGAAAGAAATATTGATGGTATTAAGTCAAGAAAAATGAAATAGGGAGTTAGAAAGCCAAAATACACTATGTAGAAATAAATGTTAATGGTAAGAATGGTAAGCAGAATGTAATATGTTCTAATAATCTTTATTCATGGCAGAAACATTGAGAAAACCTATAACTTTTATATATATATATGTACATATAGTTGATAGTTCTAACATAATCTACCATGGTATGAGAATGAATAATGAGAGGTGTTGATTACCAAAATAAATTGTAATTGTTATTACCTTGTTTTTCATCTATACTTTTTCAAGACATTTGTTTTGTTCTTTTTGCAAGTTTGTTAGTCAGGGCAAGGTACAATTATGACTTTTTAAAAGAGGTTAATTAACTTTCCCAAGATTAAACTGCTTGTCAGTAAAAACACTGGTGTTAGAACCTCTATTATTTGCTACCAATTCACTGTGTCATTACAATTGCTGTTGCTATCCCAATCCCACCCAGCAGGGAGAAAGAGAGAAAATAATTCATTCACATGGAATAATAACCTGAAAATTTAGTGCTCAGCTTTTGACAGTGATAGTGGATTAAATAAAGGTATGATTGGTTTGTTTCTACAGTTGGAGCAAGCTTAATGGAGAGCATAGCATAGGACTTGTGCTGGGATGTGTAGGTCATCTTGATGTGTAGGCTACAATCATGGTAAAGAAAAGACCCACTTACCTGCCTATATGAATACAAGGCTAGCACAAAGTCTACCTCTTCTATAAGCCTTTTGTACAGATTGATTTAGTGGCTTTTATTAGCTGAATTAAAAATTTTTTTTCCTATTATGGAACTTTCAGAATTATGCCTCTTACCAATCAGGATATTAAAATATAAATGTAGTAATAAATGATGAATGGCTATGAAGTTGCTTAATATACAGGAAGCAATCTTCATAATTTTGATCTAGGTAAGATAATTTCTTAAATGAGACATAGGAAAAGCACATATTGAAAGGAAAATATTTTATAAAATAGACTACATTTTAATTTGACATTACTGTATAATCAAGAGACAACATAAAAAAAGACAAACACTAATTCAGAGATTATATTTGATATGGGTATATATAACAACAAGTTGGTTTGAAGAATTTCACAAATAAGTAAAATAACAATAACATCATAACCTGATTTAAAAAGATGGGCAAAGTATTCAAAGCTGAATGGCTACAATCATGGTAAAGTATCCATAACTTCACCAGTAATTTTGGAAATTAAAATTAATATAATAAGATTTTTTTTCATATATTATATTGACAAAATAATTAAAAATTACCCTTGTACACATTGAAGAGGACATTGGGAAATAAGAACTCTTAACTGTTAGAAGTATAAATTGATGTAGCTATTTAGTAAAGCAATATGACGTAATGTCATGAAATGGAAAAGGTACACATCTCATGACCTATTACCACCATTCCTAAGTATATTACCCAAAGAAATTTCCATACATTTG